TAAGAAAACTTGTATAATGGAAGAAAGAAGTTCAGGGCATGGAAAAAATTTGGCGTCATTTTTATGTTATCTAATTAATTTATTATAATCTATTTGACATATAATGATTTCTTAAATTTACGCGAACACTACACATTGAATAAAACTATTATTTACGGATTTTATCGCGTTTAATTACTTTAATTTATTTTTATTATCATCCCGACGTTTCGGGTGCTTTACAGCACCCATGGTCACGGGGGGGGACTGAGATGTTTGACGTCCCAATGTCATAGTTAGTCCGGCTACCTTCAGTTCTTTTAATATTAATTTTTGGTCCAATTTACGCAAAACGAGTTTATAGTATCATGAAGTCTTGCAGTGGTATGCTTGGGTTTGGGTTTAATTTTGTTAATTATAGGATCCCAAGCAGATGGTAGCACCCAACCATCTTCTCTATTGAAATTTGGATGTTTTTTAATTTCAATAGCCTCGCGTATCATCCTTGGTAGGAATCGGTGTTCTTTTGCGAGAATTTGTGTTTTATCAAATCTAATGTAAAGGTGGGGACGATCTTGAACATGTTCGCAGACTGCAGACTTCCCGGAGCGTCGGTGCTTCACATCAGCTATATGTTCCTTCACGCGGGTTTTTATAGATCTATTTTTTTGACCTATGTAAGAGAGACCACATTCACAATCTAGCTTGTACACACCTGCATCTTGTAGAGGAATATTACATTTGATGGATGGTAAAAATTGACTAATCTTCTTCAGCGACTTGTAGTATGTCTTGATGGACGCTCGCTTCAAGATGTAGCCAATCTTGTCCGTGACTCCTCTGACATATCGTAGTAGAGCAGGCGCGCGTTCGACTGTGGCCGGCTTCACTCGTTCACTGTGACGTAGGCGCGGGACCTGAAGCTTGTTGTCTTGCAATACTTGCTTGACGTGCTGAAGCTCCGCGGCCAGATGTTTTCTGTCATAGATCCCTCATGCTCTCTGAAACAAAGATTTACCCACGGTAGCTAACTGTGAAGGATGATGGTGAGATTCACCATTTAGATATCGGTTGGTATGGGTCTTTTTCTAAATCTTAAATCAGGCAAGTAAAAAGTTGTTACGGACGGTGATTCAGCAAAAACGGTTCGATTTACATTTCATAAACAACACCATAGACAATTTGTCCAGTGAACTAAAGACAATTTTAACGACATTTGATTTTAATAATTGCATCGAAACTTTAAACAAACGAGAAACATCGAAATACAATGAATGCAAAAATAAACAAATAGAAAAATACCAAAAATTAACGATCAAATCAAATGCCAAACATCGAAGTCAACGCCAGAACAATAAACAACCGTTGACCATAGACACAAACTATAAACAACGCACTGTCTATAATTTGCCAAAACATACACTGGACGAACCGACAATGAAAGTATTAGCGAAGGGAATGAACTTCGCATTAACTCCGCGAAAAATCCCGTACGAAGAAATTATCTGCGGTGTTGAGGATTGTCTGTTTAAGAATAATATCGGTAAGGAAGATTTGGAGGCCATACGTCAAGATATTTCGTCTTAATTCGTTCTTCGTTCAAATAAACGTACGGTTGCAACCTGTTTTAATAATCAAAATAACCAACTGTAACTATTTTTTTTAAATCGGTATTTACAGTCAATCGCCATATTTATTTTATAAAAATATTTGCTGCAACGGCATGGACCGAATTTGTCGTCTTTGTAGATTTTAAGTACTTTTACTGCATAATCTGGGCCAGTCCGTATGGCAAGCATGCAGACATTTCTTTTTTTACACATTGATACTTGTTTTTATTTTTCCTCATTCCGACTTGTAAGAAAGCTCAGCCACAATGAAAATAACAATAACGAGTTAACTATCTGGTATAATAATAATGTGCGCAATTTATATTAATTGAAATGTACTGTACGAAAGTAAATACTTCCAACGATCAAAAACATATATCTCTGTGGAATAGTTTACCACCGTCGATTTTTCCGGGCCGATACGACCTGGAGACCTTCAAGAAAAGAACTTACTCCTTTCTAAAGGGCCGGCAACGCACCTGCAATTCCCCTGGTATTGCGGTTGATCATGGGCGGCGGTAATCACTTAACATCAGGTGAGCCGCATGCTCGTTTGCCCCCTCTTCTATATAAAAAAACTGCGATCGTAGTTGAGCTCTTTTTCGGAACTCAGGCCAAAACTAATAGCGCCTATAACGGCAATCGATGCACACTACGATAATATCGAAACGAGACGGAGCGCACGAAATCAAGTGACACAGGTCAAATTCGATAACCACTCGAGCGGTAATGATTTCTAGTCTTGTGTAGTTCGCGAACGATGAACAATTAGGAAACGTATCTTGGCACTGTACTAAAGGAAACAATTCCGAATGCCGATTGTTAATCGGTCTAAGAACTCTATTCGTACACCTACACTCGCAAGACGCCAATACCAAACGTAAACGTAACTCGGGAATCGGTCAGTAGCCAATCAAGGACAACAGCACTGACTAATAAGAACTACTATCGTAGACAAGAGCCAATGAATGCCTCTCTGATTCAGTCAGTGACTGGCTGAGATAACCTGATGGCTGAAAAAACACAGATAGATACAATTTAAACAAGTCAATGGTACCGATGACCGAATAGAGCTAATAGAACAAATAGAACGAACTAGTTCACTGTCCGAAATGAACTAGTACGGAGCGATCTTTAAAATGACTGAGCAGGCACAAGACTAATGATTTCAGATAACCAGCGCAGGGAAATGTATGTTAGTTTTGTTCAATTAATTAAAAAATAATAGTAACGATTTAAAAAATGAATGTTGATGATTATTTTGGTATAAATTTTACGTCAAAATGATCTAGAACTTCAGAGATATTGGGGCTTGTATCGAAGCTTTTTCGGTCGCTAATTGAATTAATATGTCAACTTTTTTGTCCTTAAGTGAAAGGTATATAACGAAAATGTATTCTATCATTATTAAAGTATACAATACTAGGCAGTGCCGGATTAAGCAAGCGCGGGGCCCGAAGCAGATTATATCGAGGGGCTATAGGTTATAGCTTCAAACTGTTTATCAGGTGTTTCTGTTTCAACAAATCCGTTAAGTGTACTAGAACGGCTAAAATTGAGGTATTTTGTGTTTTGCTTGCGTCGCCTTGAAGTTTGTTGCTGTTATTCATGACAGTCTGTCAGTTCTTTGGCTTTTGCTTCAATATCTGTAAATGTTTATCGCATTGTTTGGACATATCCATATAATGATTCATAAAGGGTATATCCCATATAAAGGTCTATATTTGACGACTGGAGCGACGCACTAATCGCTTGCACACGTTCTAGTATTTCATTCCAAGTAATTTGCATTATTTTCTTTTCACGAATTTGATGTATTGCTTGCTTGATGCAATTAATTTGATAAATTTCTTGCATGTTGTTTTAGATAAATATAACACGTGTCCTTTTCTTTTATGGGCATAAGTTTGTCGTATGGGTCCGGGAAAACCGCAGGTGACGGTAAACTCCACAGTTTGCTCGTGCGAAGCAGAATATTCCGTGTAAATCGAACAGTAGTGGACTGCCAGCCATCGAGATAATGGGGATGTAATTTCGAGTTCTGACGCAGTGTACGATGTACGATGATGGAATTCAGCAATTGAAATTAATAAGTTGATACTGGGGTGCCTTGGCACAGAGATTAGAACAGTACTCTGTATGAGGCCGAATCTGCACTTTGTAAAGCTGCAAGCGGTAGTTCGGCATGAAATCCCATCTCTATCTACTGAGCACTCTAATTTTGATTCCAGTTTAGCCTTCCCTTCCAAGGCAGGCTTTCCTTCATAGGCAATGAAACTGTACGTCTCTCGAAATGTCAACGCCAAGAATTCCGATGCTAGCTGAGTAACGAGGGGATTTTTTGTGGTAAACACGCAAACCCGTGTCTTTTGGGGATTAAACTTTATTCACCTCCAATCCGAGGTTCAACTATATTAGCATGCCTGGTGTATAAAGCACCGCCAGTAATGTCGTCTGAATAACAATTAATATTTCTAGTATGCAATACAGATGCAGCCTTTTGGATTGCTTAGATAAAAAGAGCACCAACTGAACGACCTCGACGGAAACCGTATTGACGGTCACTAATCACCTAATGCTCTTTCAGGTACCGCATGAGCTTGCAGTTAAAAATGGATTCCATTACTTTGGAGAACAGGAGGTAATAGCGGTAGCCCTGTAATTGGACGGGTCCAAGCATTCAACTCTTTTATGCATTGTGTACTCTAAGGCTGTATTCCATGAACGTGAAACGATGCCTATAGAGTAAGAAAACCGGAAAAGACGATGGCAACTCTTGAGCACACGTTGTCACCACAATTTGGGGAATTCCATCAGGCCCACTCGACTTGTGGACATCCAGAGACAAGAGTGCTTTCCGCACCAAGCACTGTGTAAACAGCAATTCGGCATGCATCGGCGGTGGTCGGCGGTATAATCCCCCCGTCGTCGAGAGTCAAGTTGGACGCAAAAAGAGAGGTGCTAAAAGATCGGCTTTCTCGTTTGCGGAGTAGCCAAGCGAGTCATCCTTCTTGCGCAAAGATAACTAGTGCTTACACAAATCTCAAGTGTTTTGGCCTTGATAAAACATCGTCATCATCTATCCACTGGGCCTAAGATATCGTCAACATCTCCCAAAAATTTCGCAATGCGTTACACATCAAAGTTGTGATTTTTTTTAAATACAAGTCGACTAGGCCGTATGGGCGTATATTCCAATGCTTTTAAATAAAAAAAATGTGATTAAATGACAATTGACAACTTCATACTAAAATATTTTTTAATCTGTAAATGCATCAAATTTTATAGTGAAAATACCGTCATTGTAATTAGATAAGGTAAAAGAATAAACTTGTAGAAGTACGTAAGTTTCGACCTTGTAATATATAACCTTTTTTCAATCGGCTTAATGCATATAGTTTTATAATAATTATGAAAAGAGCGATTGAAAAATGGCGTGATTCCGCCACCTTAATATTGGCTACCAAAGGAAATCAAAACATTACACCTTGCAATGCAGACACAGATAATTGTAACTACGACATCTTGTTGCAGACTCGAACGCATAACGCGTCATTCCCGAATAGTGTGGTGTTCCCGGGAGGCGTTTGCGAGGCCGCCGACGAAGACGAAAGGTGGCTGAAACTTCTTAGTACATTTGGTTTTATCCGAAACGATTTTGAAAGTCTACATAACATTGGCAGCCCTGTTACACCTTTATTTCAAAATAACCCCATACAAAGGTAAAACCGAAGTCATTAATATTTTCATTGCAAATAATAATAACCTAAATGAAGTATTCGATTATAAAAGTTTTTAGTACATAACGATAGAGAAAATATATATATATAATGTTTGTTACAATAATAATAATCCCTCCCTGCTGTATATTGCCAAGAATGCTACTTCCGTGGCTGTACTTAGGCTTTGAGCAGGAAAAGAAACAGCCCTCTTGTCTGTCACCAATGTCAACAACAAGTCGTAAATATAGCTCCTTTAAGAATCTCACCACATAATATGGACCACACAGACCAATAGTCTCTATGGCAAATGGCATAAATATGTAATCATCATTCAAATATTCATATTTGCTCCATGTTTATACCTTCTATTTTAATGTATATGATCCAGTTACTTTATATTTTCATTCACTTTATTTTTCATAGTATCTGCTACATAAGTTTTACTTTTTGTTGGGATGCAAATAGATTTTTTCTTCCTGGTATGACAATGCAACCTCTCACTTAAAGTTTCAATCTTCCTTTTAAAGAAACCTGTATCCTGCAGCAGACTATTCGACATCACCCTGTAGGATTACTCTCCATATTGTAATGAGAATTTGCTTTTGCCATTGATTAGCAATAAGAATAACAGGTAGAAAATCTAGTGTTGTGTAACTGCTCTCTGTTGGAACTAGGTATTTTACTTTTGTCATATACAAGATAGTGATAGCTATACATATGGATGCAGCCATCGTCAAGTGCGGTAAAAGTTTTCTAGTGACAAATTACATTAAAAAAAGTGATTTTTACCATGAAGTAATGGTGTAAGAATATACAGTACACCATATCATCTCGAGGGTGTTGTAAAAGGCGACAGAGGGAAGAAGTAATCATGAGATGGGGTGCGATGATGCATGAGCAGCGTCTTTCTAATAATGACTAAGCAGTTGCCAAGCGTGGTAGCTATGGAAAATACTAGTGATGCAAAGGAAGTGTTATATCGGAAGCAAAAACAGATGTTAAAATATTTTTTACAGAAAAGAAAACAGAAACGGATGCAGTAACAGAAATAATACTTATTAAAAAAATTACAAATAAAATGTTTAATTAATATTAACAACAGAAACAACGATATTGAATTAATAACACCGCAAACAAATTTCGGTAAAAAATTTATAATGTTTCATACATTACGGTTCCCAAATATATAAGAAATTACCTAAAGATATAAGACTCAAAATCAATGCATACATTTAAAAGACTACTTAAGTATCACATATTGAAAGAGTAAGCACACTTATACATATATAAATAATATAATATGTATATATAAATATATATATATATATATATATATATATATATATATATATATATATATATATAAGTTTTGTTGTATAGGGATATATATGATTGAATAATTTCGTGTTTCAATAAGTGGTATAAATAAATACATAATATCTAAATTAACATCTGCTTATACACTGAAAACATCAATTATTTAAGTTACTTCAAATAATAAATAATATAAATATTACAACAGCTCGTTAAAGATATAAATTTTCATACATGACACTTAATCAGATTTTTCTTAACTATCAAAACTAATCTACCATACTACTAATAATAACACTTAGTTTATGCGAGTCACATCCAGTAATGCTTATCTGTGTAAATCGACATTAAGAAGTCGGCTGCTGAATTAGCATGAAGTCTGATGAGCCATTGCTGTCGCTAAACAAAATTTTTAAAACCACCTACATTGAGTTTTGTATGTCTTCGGTAGTTTTTGTTGTAATTTGCATTATTACCTTGTACGAATAGCCCAAACCAAATTTATATTAAGCTGTAGATATGTAAGTCTCATAAGTGAATGTAAAATACTTGAGATAATAAATTTCTTAAACCAGAAGTAAAAAATAAATAGTATGAACTTCACGCAAACATAACTACCTAATTAATTTGCAAAACTAAGTTATAACAAAGGCATTTATTAAAAACTATTTTTAACTGCAGAAAACATGTTTTAACTAAAATTTGGTTGTAACTATAACATAGGATTACATTTTATAAATAAATAGGTCTGCAATTCCTTGACTGACCATTTGTTTTTTAGTTTGCGATGAATGTTTTACAGTTTCAACTAACTTCTAAAACTCAGCAAACTCTTCGGCGTTTAAGATGTCTCTTTAAAGATATAGTTGTGCAGCCTATTCCCAAGTATATTTTGTCACATAATTTACATCTGGCTGCTTAAACATCAATCACAAAATAATAGTTCCAAACAGAACTTGTTTTTGGCTTCATGATTGCAATTAAATTACACACAAGACTTAAATTTCTAATTAACTAAAAATACAATAAATCTATTTATGTGGATGCATCGCTGAGTTCTGTTCAAAATTACGTAATAAAACTTGCCGAAACGGAAGCAGAAACGGATGTTAAAAACCATGCAGAACTTCCGCAGTCGCGGAAACAAAAACAGAGTTCGTTGCATCACTAGAAAATACCCCCCCCCCCCCCCATGAGACGATCTGTGGGGGAGGCCTGTGTTCAGCACTGGACTTTAATAGGCTGTAATGGAAATGGTCACAATTAGTGATTGTATTGAAATGTATTTATTTCTTCTACCTATAAAAAGTAAAATTTTATTTGTCAAATGTAAATACTTTTTTTTCAATTCTAGTGTATTAATAATACTATAGCTTACAGAATACAGAGAAAAATATAGCCATTGCTAACTAAAGCATCTTCTATGATGCACACAAAAAAAAATGCTAAAAATTTGATGCTTATGTGTGTAAAGTAGTAAGTGTATATAAGTACCTAGCATACAAACCAGTACCCTCCAGTATCCACTTTTAACAAAGAAAATGGGTTTTATTGGGGCGGAGTGTAATGTAATCCTCATATCCCTGACTCAGATGACTCTCTTTATTGCTTTTTACTCTGAAACTTTCGAATTTCAATATTACCTAACACAGATAATAATCTTTATAGTGTTAATTTTGCATAAAATTATTTTCATGCTACTGGCTGATTTCATTGATGTAAAAGATCAAGATTTTCATGTAAACACTTGAACATTGAGATTTGTGTATTGACTACTAAAATAATAATATTATTTTAGTTAAGTACCTAAGGCTGATATAAATTATGTTATCCTTCTTCCTTTGTATCAGCCCACAGCCATGTCTACGGCTGGGCATGTTCCTCCTGTTTTAGAAAGAATTTGCCTTAATCATAGTAAATATATTGAAAATTGCAGCATTAGATGTCTTGCGCCTCTGAAGCTAATGCCCATTGCTTAATAGTGAAAATAAATTCTAGTATAATTCTAATTAATATTTGTGCTAGTAACAATGCTGAGGCAAACGGATTTAGCACAGAGCCTCTGCCCTTGTAATGCTGCTCTGCTTTACCAGTCTATGGACTTTAATTTTAGATATTTGAGAGATACTACTGTCATTTACTGTCAGAATATAATGCTCAGAGTATAATGTATGCAGGTGAAATAATAATTTGGAGGAAAAGTTCATACATTCCTCCTTCATCCCAAATTTTATAACATCATTTAATTATTTAACAAGTTGATAACTTCTGTATTAGTGTAAAAAAATATAGAAGAACTTAAAACCTTGTTAAATCCAACGAACGCTTATCTGATGCAGGCTAGCTTAGAAAATACACAAGAGGTCCAAAATAATAACAACAAAAAGAATATTTAAAAAAAGCAACTAAACAATTTTTTTTTATTTAAACTACTTTTACAGATTTTATCGCATTTAATTTTAAATGTTTTTTAATTTTTTAATTCCCAACATTTCGGGTGCTTTCCAGCACCCATGGTCACGGGGGACTGAGGTGACTGACGTCCCGATGTCAATGTTAACCCGGAGTACCTTCAGCTTTTTATCCGACGTACTAATAAGTCTATTAACTTATTGTTTTATTGTTTATGGTCCGATCTATGCAGAATGAACTTACTCTGTCTTGAAGTCTTGCAGTGGTATTCTTGGGTTTTGTTTTAATTTTATTAATTACAGGGTCCCAAGCAGGTGATAGTACCCTGCCTCCTTCTCTATTGAAATTAGGATATTTTTCAATTTCAATAGCCTCACGTATCATCCTTGGTAGGACTCGATGTTCTTTCACGAAGATCTGTGGTCTATGAAATCTGATGTAATGGTTGGGGCCGCTTAGGATATGATCACAAACCCTGCAGACTTCTGCAGGGAAGTTTGCAGACTTCTGCAGGGAAGTTTGCAGTTAAAATCCATAAAAGTAGTTTTAGTCAATGTGTAGTGTTCGCGTAAATATAAGAAAACATTAAATTATTTTTTATTAAAGTTAAATGAATCTCAACCCATTTTAACCTGATGATTTCTGCTGCCCACATATCCGTCCTCAATGATCAAACAGATGTCGCTCACTCTTACTCATTCCCAATAATTGATTCTCTTGTTCACTGTCTGTGTATGAAGCACTGCAGTACTGTATTGTGAACTTAGAAATATGACGTCTTTTATATAAGCTAATATGTTTCTGTGTCAATAAGTATCATGTATATATGTCGCATGTTAAAAATAAACCATTTGAAATGTAAGACACAAGACTTGCCAACTTAATGCCATGTTACACAATTCATTTTTGTGTTTGTTATTTATAGGCATATAGCCTTGAGAATAACTGCAATACGTGAGACGTTTGAGGAACTAGGTCTTCTAATTTGCAGTTCAGAGCATAAAAATAAAAGGAGTAATGTATGGGCAAATCTGATATCAAATCCTGATCTAAAGTACTGGCAAGAAAGAGTGAGTTGTATTTTTTTAATTGTAGCCCAGAAAGTGTCTAGTTATTATTACCATACTAATGGTGATACTACATGATGAGATGTAATTCTTTCTTCTTTTTTTATAGGTTTCAAATAACCCAGCAGACTTATTAGTTCTCTGTAAAGAATATAATTGCTACCCAGATATTTGGTCTTTGCATTATTGGAGCAATTGGCTTACTCCAACAAACCTACCAAAACGGTTTGACACTGCATTTTTTCTCGCTGCTTTAGAAAGTAAGCCTTTACATGTAAAAAATAATGTTGAAGTCGTCAATGTAAAGGTGTGTAAATTTCAATTGTTTTATTTTTGCTCAATAACTACTTTTTTATTTTAATATCACTAAGATTTAACTTGCTATAAAATAAAAATATAATCTTTAAGAGAGTAATCACAACAAAATATGCTAATTATATCTCATTTAAAAGGAAAATGAAAAAAAAAATCTTTTACAAAGAGTCAGGGTTGCTCCGTCGCTAAACTGACCGTAAATTTCACAGTATGCTAGTAACCCAGATTCGATCATCGCCAATATCAATTACTTAAATTAACAAATGTAATTTTAAGTGCTGATTTATATGTTACGCAGTGAAAGAAATCATCGCTGGAAAACACACGTCTGAGAAATAAAATATTTCAGAGATGTGAAATTCGACATCACATATTTGAGCAGCACCAGACACTTTCTTGCCCTAAGACACTCTCAGAAATGAGTGTCTAAGGGCAAGAAAGAGAGAGCCTGTACACAACTGTGGGATGTATATAGGCTGTAACTTTAACTTTACTTTTACAAATACTGTTTATTAGCATCACCAAAGTTTACATTACTGTATTTTCTGATGCACATATTCAAATAGCATATCACATTTCTAATCGTAAGTTGTGAGAACTAGCAGTTATGAGGAATTATATATTTTTCCTAAGAGGAAATAAATATAAATATGTAGTTTTGTATGTGGTAGAGCCATGCTGCTGTGTTTCGTATGGTTAGTGTAGAGAAACGGAGACTTTTTCCTGGAAACAAGTAATTCCATCTTATTCCTCAGGGGTGACAATTTATTTGCATTTCGTTTCATAATTGAAGGTAGATGTAGATAGATGTCCAAGGTCCACAGCATCCACTTACCATCAGGACAGTCATGTGTGTGTTGTGTTTGTTTATCAATCTTTTTTTTATATATAGAAATGTACTAAATTCTTATTGAAAACTTATAATGGGAGCCACAAATGCACAAATGCTTCTCTTCAAGTTTTTACCCATCTCCATAATTTGCCATTAAAATTGATGTTACTATGTGGAATGTGAGTTTATTGTAAAAGTCTAATTAGATAACATGTTTTTTTTTTTCTAGTGGCTAAACCCTTTACAAATACTTGAAAAAAGCAGTAAAGGAGATGTGCTCCTGTACCCACCCCAGGCATATGAATTAAAACGTCTGTCTTACCTACCGGACATAAATGAACTACTAACATTTGCAAAGAAGAGAAGTTGTCAGGGTAATGAGTTGCTGTATCCAGTCTTTATCGAAGCAAAGGATGGCATGCTACAGTTACTTCCAGGTACAATAAATTGTTGTGTTCACTAAGTATTTCTATTTTTATCTTTCATTAATATATATATCTATTTTTACTATAATTACATTTTCTTTTTTAGGTGATCACTTATACCCTTCCTCTGTAGATTTTAATACTAAAACTATTCCTCAAAAAGATAAAACTATTTTGGAACTAAGAGGACATAAACAACCAGTTCACAGGGTGGAACTTACACAATCGATGAGGAAATTAATAATACAAAATTACAAACCTAAAAACCATATCAACATGAACAACATAGTGATGTCTTTTCCTACTAAGTAACATATTAAAACTTTTCAACAAAGCTTTGCCTTAGCTATTGGCCTTATTAGAAGTACAAATTATAGGAATAAACAATAGCTTTAAGAGTTATCTCTTGAAAGTAAATATAAAATGGCGGGCACGGGACACACATGGCCTAACAGTCAAGACGACTATGAATTGCTCGAGGTTATTGGTGTTGGAGCAACAGCTGTAGTCCACGCCGCTTACTGCCAACCGCGCGGCGAAAAATGTGCTATAAAAAGAATAAATTTAGAAAAATGGAATACTTCTATGGATGAACTACTGAAGGAGATACAGGCTATGTCCAGTTGCAATCACGAAAATGTAGTCACATATTACACAAGCTTTGTAGTAAAAGAAGAATTGTGGCTTGTGCTACGGCTTCTTGAAGGTGGCAGTTTGTTGGATATTATTAAACATAAAATGAGGATTTCCAATTGTAAACACGGTGTATTTGATGAAGCCACTATTGCTACTGTACTGAAAGAAGTCTTGAAAGGACTAGAATATTTCCACCAAAATGGACAAATACACAGAGACATTAAAGCCGGAAACATTCTCCTTGGTGATGATGGAACAGTCCAAATTGCTGATTTTGGTGTGTCTGCATGGTTAGCAACTGGCAGAGATTTGTCTCGGCAGAAAGTGAGGCACACATTCGTCGGAACTCCTTGCTGGATGGCTCCTGAGGTTATGGAACAAAACCACGGCTATGATTTCAAAGCAGACATATGGTCTTTCGGGATCACTGCTATTGAAATGGCGACTGGTACTGCGCCGTACCACAAGTATCCTCCAATGAAAGTGTTAATGTTAACATTGCAGAATGACCCGCCAACACTAGATACCGGCGCCGAAGAAAAGGATCAATATAAAGCATATGGAAAAACCTTTAGAAAAATGATATCAGAATGCCTTCAAAAGGATCCAACAAAGAGGCCTTCTGCTACTGAACTTCTCAAGCATTCTTTCTTTAAAAAGGCTAAGGATAGGAAATATCTCGTTCAAACATTGGTCACCATTGGGCCAAGTATGGAAACACGTGTGCACAAAGCAAGTAAACGCCAACCTGGCGCATCTGGACGTTTGCATCGAATGGAAACAGGTGAATGGGTGTGGGAGAGCGAGGAAGAAGATGAAGATGAGGATGGTGAAACTGGGCGGGATCGGCCGATGAACCAACTACCTCGCGCGGATTCTTCAGATAGTGAAAGTGAAGGCGAAACAGGCGCTGGCTTCACCATCGGATCTCTTGGTGCGGAAGAAGCGCCCCAAATAGACCTAGTTCTGCGAATGCGCAACTCTCGTAAAGAATTAAATGACATTCGATTTGAATTTGCCCCGGGCAAGGACTCGGCTGATGGTATTGCAACAGAATTAGTAGGTGCTGGTTTAGTAGCGGCGAGCGATGCGGGAGCAATCGCATCACAGTTACAGCGACTTGTTGACGCTAACTTATTCCCACCAGAAGGCACAATTCCGCCTCGCTCTCTCACCTTTCGCCTGGACTCCGCTGATCCTTCGGAGCCTTTAGACGAAAAAGGGCTCATTGGTTACGCTCAGATATCGATCGTCGACTGAATCCGCTTCCTTAACTAATGGACAATAATTGTTTGTAGGTACTAACTTGAACATTCAAGCACTATACTATGTTATGCTGTAATTTTAAGTAACTACATATTTTATTATATGGGTGGATATGGAATTTGTTTATTGTTCAAAGCTCAAATGATTGTATTAAGTGATAGCAAGGTGAATCTGAATTTATAAGATTTTTTTATAATATGCTGTGTTTATTTACCTACTCTGATTTTAAAACACTGTAAGTGATAAATTTGTATTTTGCTTTATTGAATTTATTAAAAAAGGAATTATGACACATAAATAATTAAGAGAAGTGCTTGTGGAGTTTTTGTATGACAATTTATGATTTTTGACATGTTAAACCAAAGTTGTGTAAAGCAAAAGAACATACAGCATCCTAAAACATACCTCATCCAGTATAGTAATGAGTGCCATATTTTATCGATATCGACATTCAAAAAATTAGGGCAATCAATTTTACTATCCTATCGTGTGATGAGTGATTTATATTTAATAATATTAGCTACTTTAAAGCTTTTGCGAATGCTTTTTTTAAATCATTACAGTGTTTAATTAAAACTAGCAGATTGTATGTAGGGCGACATATGTTTTTTTAAGTTGTTATTTGTTTGTTGCTTATTTTAAAGTATTCATAAAATAAAATTCTAAATTAAATGGCTGGATGTTTTATTAGATACTTCATGTATTTGAATCTTAGTTTCTACATTACATTTTTGCATTTTTATTACATTTTTGTTGTCCTGTTACGAAAAGATTAAAAATTGAATATTTCGAGCAATAAATATCTATGAACTATTAAATATCTAACAATAAAAACTGTTGTGAAGTCAATGCTGCACAGACTATTCTATAAACTTATCAAAGCGTAACAAAACAATTTGGCAAGCCGCACTCCCTCAACAAATATCAGTTGTATCATTTTGAATACGTAACATAAGTAAGTTTCTATATCATTTTAATGAGTAAGAAATTAAGCACAGAGGTGTACCATTCAGGCTTATCTTGCATTTTCTGGAACTAATCAGATAGGTAAGGAAAGTCTGCTTTAAGATTTTTGATTAGTGCGTCGATTTTTTTTTACGCCAAGTAATAAAAATTCGTAAAAGCTCGTCGCTTTTACTAATTTTTTATAATTAATTAGCCGGCGGCAAAGGTTTTCAAGATCACTTATGATATTAATTAAAATATCAGTTTTTCCAAAAGACACTCTCGGTAGGAAGACTTAGCTCTTTCCAGTACATTGACAGTTTTCAGACATACAAAGAAAATTGCTGAGATTTTCTGATTATATTAGAAAAATGCTTAGCACAAGCTCTAATAAAATATTTTCAGCTAAATCCACCAAAAATTAAAGAGCTGACCAGGCCTAGTGCCAAATTTATCTTAGATTGTAATTCAGAAATTTAAATTCTCACTATTGTTCGATCCTATCAAAAATGATATCATTTATATAACAAAAGGATTTCGCTTATATATTACTATAGTCTACACTTAATGGCAGGTGACTACCGCCGCCCAAGAACATCTGCAACACCAGGCGAAATTGCGGGTGTTGAAAGCCTTTAAAAAAAAAAGCGCTTTGTTTAAAGGTCCTAAGTCGTATCGGTCTGAACAGTCTGGCGGTAAAGTCATGCGACGAAGAAAACTTCTGATAAATCGCACAGTAGTGAATCGACAAGCATCCAGATGAGATTATAATAATTCATCATAGCAATCAATCTATAAATTAGCATATTTGTAATAAGTCATCTAATGGTGTGATAAAAATTAATTTATTCATGAATGATCATATAGCGAGTGTGGTGTCTATACAGCTATAAAGATTTAAGAAAATATATGTACTTCATTTACTTTAATTGAGATTAAACATTTGCTGAATATGGACGTGTCTCACCTAAATTTACCATAAGCGATTTAGTGAAGACGATTGATGAGTAGGTTGTTGATTGCCAAGCTGATCACCAATCTCTAAAATCTGAATTTAGACCGCTGAGCGCGTGCTAAAGCAGTACTCAAAATTGAAATTAACAATTTTACGGGTTGCTTGCGTACATTAACTTTAATGGCATGCGTGAAATTTAATGACGAGCACTTGGCAAATTGTAGAGAAGTTACAATAATTATAGATATTTATCAATTAAATAATTTCACTATTACTTATTTCTTACTCCGAGATTAGGTAACAGGTGTTATATTATGATGTGTTTATTAAATGGGCTCTACAATAGACTAATGGAATATTATCGAACGGCAACGTTACATTTATCAGATGCAGAATAAAATTGGCAGTATAAAATTACACTAAAATTACTCGTGCAATATGTTTAGTAAAAAATGCGTAGGCTATTAACTAAAAAATCTGATCATCAACTTTTAACAACTTTTATTGGCATTTATACTTATTTACAAAGAATAAATTAAATATAAAAATATACAAAGTAAAATACGTACTTTTTTATTTTATAGGGTGATAGTGTAAACACCGTTATCCTTAAACCAGTGGTTTGGTTTCACTTATAGAACGTACATTCAATGAAAAGTAACAACATTTTTTTTAGTTAAATCTAAATTTTTCCTTAATTCCTCAATTTTTGCCTATCCTAAGCCAGTATGAAGAAAAAGTTGAAATTTTATTCTAACTACAACTGCCCAAAATATTGAACGTGCCTAAGCCAAAAGGGCTTCTAAATGTTATAAGAGTTTTGTGTTAACTTGGTGCTAACATTATCCCTTGCGAACAAAAGTAGTCATAAAAAATAAAATGAATTATAATCTAAAATCTATCAGTTTAAAAAAAAAACTTAATCGGGGCGCATTGGTTATGAACTGGATGAGGTCATAGTCACTAGACACTAATTAAATTGCACACTATTTACAAATTAATATGTATTAAAATTTAAACAATATTTTTTTAAATGATGATCTTGAACATTAATCAAATCTAAAATGTGTAAATTTACTTAGTCTGTCAACACAGCGAATCGGGTTTGTAGTAGTGATAATACGACGTAATTGCTTGTATGTGTGCCACCGGCGACTCCGAACCTCGGTAGACAATAAGGTTGACAGCCATTCTATTTTGTATAGTATTCTATGCATACAGGTCATATACATATTATGCCATTCCATTACATACTTTTAAAGTCCACTGCAGAACATAAGCCTCCCCCATAGTTTGACTTACAGGGGGTATTTTGGTATAGTTAACACGCTTGGCGAGCGGGTTGTCCATCGCAGTTTTTTGTTATTTTGAGTTGTTATCTGGAAGACGCTGCTGCCCTTCACCTATTTCAATATCCCTTTATCGCCTCTTACGATATCTACGGACTATATAGGCTAGTGGATATTCTTACACCGCCAATACACGGCTTACCGGGATATAGCTCAGTGGTAGAGCATTCGACTGCATAATATAATAAAGAATGTAAAATAAATAAGATGTTTCAGGCAATAATTTTAATTAATTGAAACAACCGCACGGCAGAGTGTGGAGTACAGTATTATGGTCGACTAGAGGTTGCAATCGAATATTCGAATTATTCGAATTTTATTTCCAAATTTATATTCGAATAGTAAATAAATATATATTCGAATAACTACCAAAAAAATACTAGTCAAGTCTATGTTGGTAGAACTTAAAAATTGTTGTTGGCAACACTGCTTAACGGCTTGAGTGACTTGCTTGACGCCATTTTGTTGAGTTCATTCACTTACAGAACGTGTTGTTATATACTTGCAAAGCTGTGCATTTTGTCTTTTGTGAAGTGATTTGATTCTGGTGTTTATATAAAAGTATTTGTGGATTGTTTTATGTAAGTATTGTGTATTTTGTTATTTTTTTAGCAAACACGCTGGTTGAATTTGACTTAACCTAAAAACTAACTTTGCACTGATCACCAAATACCTACGTTATATGTATTTACAAGTATCAAATTCAATTACATTGCAGATCAGTTGACGATGGATAAATTGGTTTTTAAAGAGTACACAAAACGTACGTTTGACAAATCTTCAATATGGAACTCTTTCTTACGGACTGAGGATGGAAGTCACGCAAAATGCAAATTATGCAAAAGAATTCTTCAGTGCTCAAATACCACCACATGCTTACACAATCACTTGAAGAAACAACATCCAAGTGTACCTGGTTAGTCACTCATTTAATTTACTTTTACAGCTTTTACCTTTATTAACTACTTGTTCACTTACATTTATTACTTTTGACCAAAAGGTATTAACGCTTTTACTCATAAAATTTTTTTTATTGTTCGGTCTACTAGATACAAGAAGAAATATTCGACAGATTCCAGCGACCGCTACGCCTACCACTCCCACAAATGAGGTAGTACAAGAAGAAGATCAGTGGCCCATGCCCAAGCAATAAAAGTCAGAATTGACGATTACTATCAGAACACCAAAGAAGATAATATGGAAACTGTGATTTCCAAAATGACTGCGTGTGATGGTCAACCATTCAACGTTTTTTGCAAATCAGAATCTATACGTATGCTTTTTTTAAAAAGTGGATACGAAGCTTTGCCGAAATCTCCGAACACAATTAAGAAGATTGTTATAGAAAAAAACCAGTTAAAACAAGAACTGAGAAAATAATTGTCGGTTTTAAAAGCAAAAGGACAGAAATTTTCCGTCTCTCTTGATGAGTGGACATCAGCTAGCAACCGGCGTTATGTGAATATTAACATTCACTGCCCTAATTTCAATGACAATGACAAGCCTTTCAGAAACTTGGGATTGGCAAGAATTACAGGTAGAGGAACATCGGAAAGATGTAATCATATTTTGCGGGTTAAATTAGGGTCCTACGATCTATTTTTAGAAGATGACGTAGTAGGTGTAGTGACAGACGGTGCTAGCGTTATGACTGCCATGGGTCGTCAAATATCTTCATTTCACCAATTATGCTTCGCACATGGAATTCAGTGTGCAGTGGTGGATGTCATATATAAGAACTTATATAGTCAGCGTGTAGAAACGAAATTCAGAAGAAATAGACACAGAGGAGACATTATCTACAATAGTAGATTCAGAGGCAGAAGAATCAGAAGATGAAGAAACAGATGAAAATTACGATGGACAAGGTTTTATAGTTAGTAATGCAGAAACCAGAAGTGAATCCAGGCTTAATGTCGATTATAAGGATTTGATTGTTAAAGTACGAAAGGTAGTGAAATTTTTCAAGAAGTCTCCAACTAGGACAGAAGTTTTAAATAAACATGTCCTTGAAGATAACAAAAGAGCGGGCCTGGTTTTAGATTGCAAAACGCGGTGGAGCAGCATGGCGGACATGGTTTCAAAATTTTTGCTTTTAAAGGATGCAATATTAAAGGCACTGATTGACTTGAAAGAAAAAACTATGTTCAGTACCTACGAGCTTGATCTTTTGCAGGATTTATCTACGACCCTCACTATCGTAAAAAGCACTGTAGAAGCTATTTGCCAAGAAAAGGCGAACTTATTAACTGCAGATACAGCCCTGCAATTCATGGTCACTAAACTACAAGAGAACAATGGGGTTATCAGTAGAAGACTCCTTGAGGCTTTAACATTAAGAATCGCTCAACGCCGACAAACAGATCTGGTATGTACACTGAAGTATTTACATAATCCTAACAAATACTACCTGGAACAATCTTCTACTGTCTTCCCTAAAGTAGGAAATGATGTTATCACCAAAGTCATAGTTGACATACAAAAAAAATACTTCAATCAAAGACCTTCAACAATAACTTATACTGGCGCTTCTGATGACGAAGATGACATGTTTCTAGCAGATCTACAGCATTGTCAAAATGAAGAAGCGTCTAGAATCACAATTATGTCAATAAAAGAACAGCTACAGAAAAAAATAGATGATGAAATGTGTGCAAGGCCTTCTACGTCCACAGCAACTTGCGAAGATGATCTAGAATCATCAATAAAAATGCAGATGGCTTTATATGATGCAGGAGCGCCAAGACAAATACACCTAACTCAGGCTTATGACGTGTTAATGTGCATTCCACCAACTAGTGTAGAGTACGAAAGGGTATTTTCTTCTACGAAGTATATCTGCAATCATCTCAGATGTAAATTAAGCGATGATTCCTTAGACGCCTTAAGTTTCCTCAGGTCTCACTTTCAAAGAATACGTAAAAAACAATAATTATTATGAGCTGTGTTGATTTTATATTATAATAGGTAAATCTGACTTAATACTTAGTTATTATTGATGAATCTGATTTATTAGTGTAATATTGCATATGAAAATGATACTGCAATGCCTTTACGACACCTTTACATTTGTGATACTTTTTATTTTTATTATTAACGAGTTTAAGATTTTTTGAATTGTTTGAGAATTTTATAATTGTTTTCATTAACATGTTCATGTATAATCGTGAGATTTATAAGAACATAAGGTTCCTACTATGTTTAAGAATTTGATAATACTTTTTATTTTACTAAACACCGAGTTTATATTGTTTAAAGATAAATGATGATTCTATTCGTGTTACTATGTTAGATTATTTGCAATGTTAATTATTGTGTTTTGATTAACATGTTCATGTATAATCGTGAGATTTATAAGAACATGTTTCCTACTATGTTTAAGAATTTGATAATACTTTTTATTTTACTAAACACTAAGTTTATATTGTTTAAAGATAAATGATGATTCTATTCGTGTTGGTATGTTAGATTATTTGCAATGTTGATTATTGTTCTGTTCCTAAAGCAATAACAGCTGATATTTGAAGTGTTTTTTTTAATAATCGAATATTCGAATAATATTCGAACAGCACTGAAAAAATATTCGAATATTCGAATCAAAACTATCGAATATTTGCAACCTCTATGGTCGACACACACGGTCAGAAAACTCACTGACTTCAAATTTCAATAATAATTTCTTATATTTACTCGAACACTTTTTTACCCGTCTCGAGCACTTTATAAAACCTGTGGTCATGGAATATTGGAAATCGGAACAAACAATTTAATAACTTTAATCTAGATGTAGCCGTGCTTAAATATGACATTGGGACGTCGAACACCTCAGTCCCCCCCTTCCGCGACCATCATCATCATCATTACAGCCCTTCACAAGTCCACTGCTGAACATAGGCCTCCCCCGAGATATGCCACAAAGCACGGTCCTGAGCCACCTGCATCCGTCGACTTCCTGCATGTCGTACCAGGTCGTCACTCCATCTAGTGGGGGTCGCCCCACACTACGCCTACCGGTACGAGGCTGCCACTCGAAAACCCTTTTCCCCAAAGGTTGTCGGTCCTTCGAGCTATATGGCCAGCCCATTGCTACTTCAGCTTGCTAATCCGTGAATATGGGTGGTGTTAAAGTGCTCTAAACGTCGGAAATATAAAATAAGTTAGTATACGCGATAAAATCCGTAAAAACTAGTTTTATTCAAATTTCAACTTTAAATTTCATACTCACGGTCAGTATTTTGATGTACGTCATTTCAACTGATCAGTTTAAGTGACCTTGTGTATGGAGCATTAATATTGATTGTAAAAAATATAAAGTATCTCGGTTTTATACAAACATGCGCAGTACAATATAGCGCGAGGGTTACGTAACGTTAGCGTGTGACGTGTGTGTGCAAAAAGGTAAAATAAAAACTTATTGTTATAATGCAGTATAACCATTTCATAGTGCAACAATTCATTTTAATACCTACTGAAACAAAACATAAAGTAATCATTAATAAATTTCGCGTTTCGCAAAATACACTCACCGGCACGGAAATTTGGCCAAGCGGTTATCTCGCGATAGCAAAGGCCTTAAGTGTTTCTGATGAATGTTTGTTATGCAAGTACGTCAAAAAATGTTTATCCTCAAGTTCAAGAAGGTAATTCAGTATGTTTGAGTGCACCATGACGAATTCTTTAATTTTTAGTTGAATCGGGTCATTTGAGCGACTAAGTTCACATTTTAAATTTGTGTGTTGTGAAAAGTTTACTGTAAGGTTATTCAATTATTGTGATCTTGTGTCTTAATTAAATAACTAAAGGTGCTTTAAAGCCAATAAAAATGCCATTAACACCAGCACAAGTTGCACAAGCAGTAGCATTAATTGACCAAGGGCTGACACAGCGTGAAGTTGCTATTGTGCTTAACGTACCACGGTCCTCAATGCAGTATTCACTGAAACGATACCAGGAGACAGGCCGCTACACCCGCAGGCCAGGCAGTGGGGGCGTAAGGTGCACATCGGCCCGGGACGATCGTTTTATTGTTATGGAGATTTTGAGAAACCGCTACCTGACCGCTGTTGAGATACGCCAGCGGCTCCAAATCGCAAGAGGCGTTAATGTTAGTGAGCGTACGGTGAGAAGACGAATGGAGGAAGTGAATTTAAAAGCTCGTAGACCAGCACGAGGTCCAGAACTTCTCAGACAGCACCGAGTAGCCCGACTTCAGTTCGCAAGAGAACATGTCAATTGGACCCACGAACAATGGGCTAGAGTGTTGTTCACAGATGAGTGTCGAATAGCTTTACGTGCTCCAGACGGTCGAGAACGAGTGTGGAGAAAAAGAGGAGAGAGGTTTCTACCCATTACCACCACCCAAACTGTGAGTTTCCATGGAGGCTCAATAATGGTATGGGGAGGTGTAAGTTCCGACGCACGTACAGAGTTGGTCATCGTCGATAATCGGCTTACAGCTACTCGATACATCGAGGAAGTTCTTCAGGAGCACGTAATGCCTTATTCGGGATTCATTGGACACGACCAATTCCTCCTCATGCACGATAATGCACGCCCGCACGTCGCACATTGTGTAGAGGAATATCTGGAAGAGGTTGGAATACAAAAATTACAGTGGCCAGCTCGTAGCCCGGACTTAAATCCAATTGAGCATGTATGGGGTATGCTCAAAAGAAAGATAAAGTCCAGCTCCAAACCGCCACAAACTCTAAATGAGCTCCGAAATGCAGCGCTGGCCGCTTGGGACAGCATACCGCAAGTTGATGTCAGAAACATCATTCAAAGCATGCCAGATCGAATGCAAGCGGTTATCAGGGCTAGAGGAGGAAACACCCGATATTAAAACTGATAGACAATAAAGAAACAGACTTAATTTTTAACTTTGTAGTGTTTTTAAAGTGACAATGGAAAGATGTTAATTTTAGTGAAAACATGTTATCTTGAAAAGAAAAATTTCGGTGAAGTAAACATTAAATTTCTATGTTCTAAAACCATTAGAGACACTTATTGAATGCATCTACCCTTAATTTACTGTTAAAAAAACGTTTCAGTGCAAATAATCAGCAAATTCACGAGTGGCCAAGTTTCCGTGCCGGTGAGTGTATTTGAAATAGTATATCTGGCACGGAATGATATAGCTTAACACCCATATCGTAAATAACATTAATATCATCATATTATAATAAATAATAAAGTACAAGCTTATAAAATATATATTTTGTTTGGTGAATTTGGTCATTATACTTTTATATCATTGCCATAAGTAACGCATTTAAAAAAAAACTATATAAATAATGGTAATAACATCAACAAATGAATTCATATTTGTTATAGTAAAACACTTAAAGATACATATAATTATAATAATTGAAAATAAATAACATTAGCAAGTAATTAGAAAATGACTAGACAATAAGTAAGTTAATCGAGATAACTTAAGACATAGCTTGATATATTCATTAAACACAACATCTATAAAAACGTAAAAATATCTATAAAAACAAACAAATATCCTCCCTTATTAGTGTGCTAGTATAAGATAATTGGAAAGTTTCACTTAAGAAATTTTGTACATAATGTTATGATATAATTTATACTTGCGATTGTTGTTGCTTGGTGATACTCTAGCTTCAGCGAACACCCTGATGATGCCGTGAGGCGATACCGGTCAGTTTTTATAATTACTATAATAATAATTTAAAATAAATATTTTGAAACTAGTGCAAATGTTAATCCACATCATAAAATTAAATGTATCTTAACATCATAAGGCATTAATTAATTCCTTATAACTTATTACAAAGAAAGAATATTGTGCATGATATTACTTTATATATAAGTACTTTCCTTTTTGACAAATAAATATATTTAAGACTTAAATTAACTTATAAGTTTAATTAAAACTGCTATTATATGAATTCAAAAAACTCTTTGCAACGCAAAGTATTAGAGTAAAATGAGAATGAGTAAACATATATTAAAAAAACAGTTTTACGTATTGGCAGACGTCAGTAATAATTAACGAATATGTGAAATATAAAATTATAGAGAATGGGGAGAGTATCTTTTTGAATAATATTAAAATATATGAAATAATTTATGACGTTTTTCATCTTTTATTACAGAATGACTAGTTACAAATTTCATGGCACCATTTTACTCTAAGTTTGCGTTAAATTCTTACATTTTTAAAAAATAAATGCGTTAACAAGTAAAAAAATAAAGGGAATAATTTATCTCTATGATTGGAATAAGAAATTATCTATGTAAATTAAATGGAATGCCAAGTTTATATAAATGCACACATTATCAAGATTAACTTGACTTATATATAATATGTATATTTATGTTGAGTATCTTTTCAGTTTTCTTTTTTTAACTTAATCAAACACAATTAATCAATATAAACATACACCGTCTCATTACAATAAGCAGCTTACAATTACTGTAAGGTAAAAATATTAAATTAACATATTTGTAACATCAACTTAAGATATTTTTCTTTAAAGTTTTCATAAAAATAAAGTTTTTAATAAAGAAAGCAAATATTAAGTTTACAGATCAAATTTAAATCAATAACTAGTTTATATATTAATTTATATACATATAAGTATAAATATATTATTTTGTATGCAGACACAAAAGAATACAAATGTAAATCGCAGAAGAAAAATTGAATATACTGAAACAATTTCTATAACATGTAAATAAAATATAAACTCAATATTGTATCAGCAAAATTCGTGCGTAAGATAAGGTGATCTTAATTGAATTATTTAATAAATTCTTATTTTTATTTAAGTCATAAAAATCGATTATAACATATACTTCGTTCAAAAATCTCGCCTTACAAATCACTTACAAATGGGTCAGAATGCATCTAATTATTTTGGCTTGTCAATATTGGCATCATTTGAGGAGTTGTTATTCTTT